CAAATACAAAACAGTTATATAATATAAAACATAATTTATTCCTGTGATGGCAAAGCTGAATTTTCAGCAGCCATTACTATTATTATTAATATGCTGATTTGGTAAACAAGAACCTCAAGATATCACACTTATTCTCATAATTTAGTAGTAATATTATCAAATCTGGTGAAAGCACTACTTCAAAGCACTACTGTAAAAATACATTTTGTAAAAAAAAAATGCACACTTTTTTTCTCTTTTTTATATAATTTAAATGAATATTCTAAAAAGAATTGTAAAATATTAAAATTATTATTATGATGGAATTTTTTTTTTTTTTTCAGATTTATGATCTTAAAATTAATCCCATTCTAATTTTCTCCCTTGTGATGGTTTTTAGGGTGTGGCCACTGTAAGAATATGAAGCCAGAATTTGATGAAGCTGCTGAGATCCTCAACAAAGACCCAGATGTGAGTTCCTTCACTCTAATTCTCTGACATATAGGAGATGGATAATGTTCATATATTTGCTTGTTGTAAAATTCAACCTGACTTTGCAAAAGACAACATGGAGGCAGGAGAACAACTGTGTACTTAATGAAATGGTTCTAGGTGTGTAATTGTCACTTTGAGGCATTCCTTGTAAAAAGTCTGTGTCCAATTGACTTGATTAAAATAAGCCAACTGTAATTTTCCAGCATCTTAGACAATTTGATAACACCCTGCGGTAAATCCAAAAATGTTTTTCTCTTTCAACCTTTGATTCAACATTTCCATGCTTGCATGACATGGTCATTTTAAGCTTTAAATTTACAACATGAGACATATACAGTTCACAAACATCTCTGGCCATGTTGTGTGAGTGGTGTTTTTCTCATTTTCCGGGTGTGTCCGTAGCGCTGGCTCTGTTCTCTAGTCCTTAGTTGCAGGCCAATTGCAGTCACCAGTGCCTTATAGTTGAGTATTTATCTCATTTTCCTTTTCCTCTGTGCTGTCCCTCTAGCCTAATTTTCACTTTGAGGCATTCCTTGTAAAAAATCTGTGTCCAATTGACTTGATTAAAATAAGCCAACTGTAATTTTCCAGCATCTTAGACAATTTGATAACACCCTGCGGTAAATCCAAAAATGTTTTTCTCTTTCAACCTTTGATTCAACATTTCCATGCTTGCATGACATGGTCATTTTAAGCTTTAAATTTACAACATGAGACATATACAGTTCACAAACATCTCTGGCCATGTTGTGTGAGTGGTGTTTTTCTCATTTTCCGGGTGTGTCCGTAGCGCTGGCTCTGTTCTCTAGTCCTTAGTTGCAGGCCAATTGCAGTCACCAGTGCCTTATAGTTGAGTATTTATCTCATTTTCCTTTTCCTCTGTGCTGTCCCTCTAGCCTTCAGCTTGGAGCTACTCGGAGTGATGCTCTTCCCAGAGTTCAATAATGACACGTTATGCATTATCTAATGCATGCTCTAGTCCTCACATCTTCTCCCCCGAGAAAGATGAAGTATTTTATTTTTCTCATTCCCTGTGCTCACGGCCCTACACACAGTTTAAAGAGAGAGTCCACATGTCGAGATTTTTTAAAAGTATTTTCAATTTGCATCTCTCTGAGACTTTGGAATAAGGATGTTTAAATGTGCATATATGAATGTAAGACGGGGGTTACGAATATGACATTTTGTAAGTGGATGGTGGAGAAATTCAAGCGGCCGTACTTATCTCTCAAGTGTGTTGTTGAAATGCGGTGCCATTAATTTAATGAGATGTGTTTGTGTATTTGTCGTCAAGTGGTTTGGTTTGCATACACTTCTAATTGGCTCACAGCTCCGATAGCTGTCCAAAGATTTTTTGGCCCCTGTGGGGTTGGTACCTAAACTTGAACACAAATCCTTAGGGTGTGGCCACTGTAAGAATATGAAGCCAGAATTTGATGAAGCTGCTGAGATCCTCAACAAAGACCCAGATGTGAGTTCCTTCACTCTAATTCTCTGACATATAGGAGATGGATAATGTTCATATATTTGCTTGTTGTAAAATTCAACCTGACTTTGCAAAAGACAACATGGAGGCAGGAGAACAACTGTGTACTTAATGAAATGGTTCTAGGTGTGTAATTTTCACTTTGAGGCATTCCTTGTAAAAAATCTGTGTCCAATTGACTTGATTAAAATAAGCCAACTGTAATTTTCCAGCATCTTAGACAATTTGATAACACCCTGCGGTAAATCCAAAAATGTTTTTCTCTTTCAACCTTTGATTCAACATTTCCATGCTTGCATGACATGGTCATTTTAAGCTTTAAATTTACAACATGAGACATATACAGTTCACAAACATCTCTGGCCATGTTGTGTGAGTGGTGTTTTTCTCATTTTCCGGGTGTGTCCGTAGCGCTGGCTCTGTTCTCTAGTCCTTAGTTGCAGGCCAATTGCAGTCACCAGTGCCTTATAGTTGAGTATTTATCTCATTTTCCTTTTCCTCTGTGCTGTCCCTCTATCCTTCAGCTTGGAGCTACTCGGAGTGATGCTCTTCCCAGAGTTCAATAATGACACGTTATGCATTATCTAATGCATGCTCTAGTCCTCACATCTTCTCCCCCGAGAAAGATGAAGTATTTTATTTTTCTCATTCCCTGTGCTCACGGCCCTACACACAGTTTAAAGAGAGAGTCCACATGTCGAGATTTTTTAAAAGTATTTTCAATTTGCATCTCTCTGAGACTTTGGAATAAGGATGTTTAAATGTGCATATATGAATGTAAGACGGGGGTTACGAATATGACATTTTGTAAGTGGATGGTGGAGAAATTCAAGCGGCCGTACTTATCTCTCAAGTGTGTTGTTGAAATGCGGTGCCATTAATTGAGTATTTATCTCATTTTCCTTTTCCTCTGTACCGTCCCTCTAGCCTTCAGCTTGGAGCTACTCGGAGTGATGCTCTTCCCAGAGTTCAATAATGACACGTTATGCATTATCTAATGCATGCTCTAGTCCTCACATCTTCTCCCCTGAGAAAGATGAAGTCATTTATTTTTCTCATTCCCTGTGCTCACGGCCCTACACACAGTTTAAAGAGAGAGTCCACATGTCGAGATTTTTTTAAAGCATTTTCAATTTGCATCTCTCTGAGACTTTGGAATAAGGATGTTTAAATGTGCATATATGAATGTAAGACGGGGGTTACGAATATGACATTTTGTAAGTGGATGGTGGAGAAATTCAAGCGGCCGTGCTTATCTCTCAAGTGTGTTGTTGAAATGCGGTGCCATTAATTGAATGAGATGTGTTTGTGTATCTGTCGTCAAGTGGTTTGGTTTGCATACACTTCTAATTGGCTCACAGCTCCGATAGCTGTCCAAAGATTTTTTTGGCCCCTGTGGGGTTGGTAGCGGCCGTACTTATCTCTCAAGTGTGTTGTTGAAATGCGGTGCCATTAATTTAATGAGATGTGTTTGTGTATTTGTCGTCAAGTGGTTTGGTTTGCATACACTTCTAATTGGCTCACAGCTCCGATAGCTGTCCAAAGATTTTTTGGCCCCTGTGGGGTTGGTACCTAAACTTGAACACAAATCCTTTGTTTGTGATAATGACCAAGACTCTCATCATTAATATAAGGTATCCCACTGACAGATGTCTGCAAATAGAGGGAGTTAATTGAGTTTAAGCTGAGGAAACATTCATAATGACAGTCCATTTTGCGGCTATATCATGGTGGAAACAAAGCTGTGCCAAATTGTGCTGTCATTTCATCAAAAAAGCTTGTCTCCACAACTTCAACAACAAATTGGTTGCGTTTAAACTGGGGATGTCATAAATCAGTCAAAGTAATAGGCCTTTGTGTAAATATAATTTTCTGCCATTTGTGTGGATGACACTTTAGTGTTTTTATAGCAACAGCGCTCTTTGTCTCACTCGACATAAAGATATATTAAGTTGTGCTTAGACATTTGAAACTTAATGAGTTCCATAATTGCTGGAAAGTTTTTAGAGAGTGATTTGGGTTAAAAATTTGCATCTAAAATGTGCTTGGCACCACAATCACATTGATCTTTTTGGAAAAAAAAATAAAAAAATTAAAAAAACAGTTTGCACGGAGTTTAACAAATGGACTAACAATGTCCAACATTTAGGATGTATTTGCACATGTGAATTTGACCAATCAACTGTCAGACAACATACAGCATGGTGTGTTTTTAAGTTGAAAGTAAACAGTGCTTTTCTATCTTTGTATGTTCATATGGTTTCAGAGCCCAGGTGTGTTGGCAGCAGTGGATGCCACCATTCACAAGTCCATCGGTGAGCGGTTTAAAATCTCAGGCTTCCCAACAGTGAAGTACTTTGAAAAGGGGGAAGAGAAGTACACACTTCCTCAACTCCGGAGCAAAGACAAAATCATCGAGTGGCTGCAGAAGTGAGTTGACTCCGTCTTTTCCACTGACCATCAGCATAAGAAATTAAATTAAACTATATCTATATTAATTCAGTAAGTTGTTGCAACAAGAGATATACTGTTATTAGTATTTTTTTATTTATATTTTTATTATTTTAGTATTATTATTGCATTTAAATTAAGGTTAGGCCAGTTAACTATTTGGCATACGAATAGTTTGATCAATTTAATAATAATAATAATAATAATTTGCTGTCAATATTTTATTATAATAATTTTATTTTTTATTATTGTATTCTATCCTTACTCTCTACTGTCCGTATACAAAATAGGGGGGGGAAATCCTTGAAAGGCCTGTTTCTGCAATGCATCTCTGCAGAGGCGTTAATATACAAAACAGATAAAACACAATGGCTGTTTTTGACTGGATGTAGTTGTTTATGTAGGTGTATGGAGGTCTGCACAGGTAAATGCTTGTTTCTGCTTTTATTTATTTATTCACACTTTGTAATATTTATTTCTGATGGAGGTGGATTTAGTGCTCAGCTAAGGTCAGGTACAAGTGAGGCAGAAATTGCTTTTTGTTGTGCTACTCTTACCCTCTGCAATCTCTTAACTCTATAAATAGTCAGGAAGGTATAAATACTAAAAATGTATCTGAGCACCAACTTTGTGGTTTTGTTTTTATATGTTAAAGTGGTTACTGAATGTCACCTAGTTAGAACAAGTGTTAGATTTCTGAAAAAAAATTTAAATAATAGATTGTGCAGAATTGTTTGAAAGGGCCACATACATTTGACCTGGAGATGTTTTTCACGCATTACCGAACTTCACTCAAGAGTGACCTGCATGAGGGCTGGGAGCCTGAGAATTTACTTTTACACTGCCGTCTCCCCTGACTCTTTGGGATGTGCTCAACAGAGCTTGACTACAATCAATCACTGCTAAACTGACCTCTCAGTGGAAGAGCTTGCCCTTGCTTTGATCCTGGAGCAGTCCTTCTGTGCGGGCATCAGCTATGAGTTTAAGTGCATGACGGTGCCATCTCACAGGTCCCAGAACAGCAGGGCCAAGCCTGTTTTCAGACTCATGCCAAATACTGCAGACTAGTAGTTATGCACTATGATAATACCATGGGACATGGGAAGTCAGGAGAGCCCAAGTTAGGGTTTTGTTTAGTCCTGAGGTGCTTTTCATGCTTTCATTTCATGTTTGAAATTGTTTATTGCATGATATCCATACAAAGTGGCCCCAAAAGGTATTTTCAACCATATATTCACACTGTTGTTCAAAAGTTTGGGGTCAGTATGATTTGTTTAATTTTTTTGAAAGAAAAATCACCAAGGCTTATTAAAATTATTTTATATAATTAAATGAAATTCTTCAAATGTCTAAATACTTTTGCAGCCATTCAGTTTCGCTGAACTCATGGGTGTAAGTCTAATTATGTCTGCATTTTATTCAGTGTATTAAACTGATTCTGAACATTTGCATAGTTATTACGTAGTGACCTGACTTGACTGTGAGTGTTACAGATTCAGAGATCTCAGCCTAACAGCTTACCTATTTAATCACAGGCGCTTTCTCTCTCTGTTTCTCTCAGTCCCCAGGCCCCACCTCCTCCAGAGAAGTCGTGGGATGAGATGCCATCCAGCGTGAGCCACCTGGGAGCCGAAGATTTCAGGGAATTTCTGAAAAAGAAGAAACACGCCTTGGTCATGTTCTATGCTCCATGTAAGCCTTGTTTTTTGTTTTTTTTCAAAAATACTGCAGCTGTAGTTTTGGTCTCAAAGCACATTTCCAGGCTTCTCCTAAACCTTTAAGCTTTATAGGGAAATGAATCAGAATTTTGTTGCATCCTCCTAAAGAATCATGTGTGATGGCAATTATATAGAGCACTGAAATGTGCAGGTGGCGTAAACTGCACCATAGCTTCCTGCACATAGTTATTGCATTATTTAAAATATTTACAATAGGTCATAACAGTTAAATATGATGTTTGCATCTCTGTATTTTTCTGAAATGGTAAAAGCCATTTTAAATGTTTAGGCTTGAGGGAAGCAAAGGGAGATTAATTACTTGTGCATCTCTTCTTCCTCCGTTATTATTTGTGAAGACAAACACAGTTTAATGCAATTCCTTATAATTAATTTGAGGTGGATAGTCCTTTTTACACATTACACATTGTTCCATAGCAGCTTTACAAAGAATAGTGTCTTACACAAACCCCTCAATAAGCAAGACAAAAGTGACCATGGCAAGGAAAAAGAAAGACTGTAATACAAATAATTTAATTAAATTGTAAAGTATTTATACATCGTGTTAGTATTTGTACTGATTTGATTTAAAAATGATATATACGGACACATATACTGTGCGTATATATATATATATATATATATATATACACAGTGGTGTGAAAAAGGTTTTGCCCCCTTACTGTTTTTCATATTTGTCACACTTAAAAGATTCAGATCATCAAACAAATTTTAATATTACACACAGATAACCTGAGTAAATACAAACTGCAGTTTTGAAATTATGATTTCATTTATTAAGGGAAAAAAGCTGTCCAAA